CTGTTCTGTCTTTTCCAGGAGAGGCGCAGCATGGGATCCGCAGACGCAGCCCGCTGTGCGGAGAGGCCAGACGAGGACTGATCTTTCTGCTGCTTCAAAGGGAGCCGAGCCCTTCCTGCCGTTGCTGTTGATCAAAGTCTCTGCAGAGCATATTTAATGCGCCCTGCCCTCCCCCACGTTGTGCCCGGGGGGCAGAGTCCCCCCTTGTCATGCTGAGACTTCCTCCAAACCTTACTGCAAACTCGAGAGACACCCCCACCTACCTTCCAGGCGGGGTCCCACTGCACCTACCAGGGCCAGGAGTTCCCATTCCCTGCCGGCTCCTTCTCCAGGTGACTCAGCCCAAGGCCAGGGCCTGGCAGTGGACATGGATATCATGCCCGTTGTGCAGATAAGAGCCCGGGCCAGAGAGGTGGTAACTTGCCCAGAGCCACAGGCTGGTTATGCCTTGGGAAACCCCCATTCGTAAAAGATCACGGGGCCTGTGTCCTCACAAAGCCCGTGTCTGATGGTGGGACATGCTCCTCCCTCGGAGCTGCCAGTCCACCGAGCACACACAGAACCCAGAAAGACCACAGAAATAACCCGTGTGAAAAGGAAGGGTGGGCCTTGTTTCTAAGACGTCTCACTTTCGAAATCGTAAAAAATCTATAAACTCTTTTATTTCACTTTCCCTCCCAGGTGGGGCACAAAGCAGATTTGTCTTCCCTTTTTCCCTGTCCCCTCCCCAAATGACACCCAGCTTCATCTGTTTGCAAATAGTGCTCTGCCTTACATGTGAAAATCCTTAAATGCCTTTCCATTAAATACAGTGTGAATTTTGAAGTCCTTAGCGTGGTGTTCAAGGCTCTGAAAACCCTTGAGAGGCCATGTGGCCCAGTGGTTAAGGGCATGGGCTCCTGGGCTAGCATCCTAGCTCCTGAAACTCATGGCTTTAACCCATCGATTATTTGGAAGTATGTTGTTTAATTTCCAGTATTTGGGGGATTTTTCAGATAATCTCTGTTATTTATTTCAAGTTTAATTCTATTATAGTCAGAGAACATACCCTGCATGATTTAAATTCTTTTAAATTTGTTACGATTTCTTTTAAGACCTAGAATATGGTCTAGATTAGAGCAACTTGAAAAGAATGTGCATTCTGCTATTGGTGGTGGAGCCTTCTACAAATGTCACTTAGGTCAAGTTGGTTAATGGTGTTGTTCAGGTCTTCCATATCCCCACTGATTTTCTCTTTATTTTTCTATCAGTGACGGATAAGTATTAAAGTCCCCAAGTATAACTGGATTTATCTATTTCTTCGTTTAGTTCTATCAGTTTTTTGTTTTATGTATTTTAAAGTTCTATTGTTGCGTGTATACACATTTAGAGTTTGTACAACTTCCACATGAATCAATCGTTTTATCAGTGGGTCATATTTCTCTTAATCCCTGATAAGTTTCTTTCCTCGGAAGTCTACTTTCCCTAATATTAATTTAGCCATTGCAGCGTGTTAAAAAATTAATATTTTATGGTATTTTCACAAACTTTTAACTTTTAACCTATGTATATCATTGTACCTAAAGTGAATTTCTTGTCAATAGCATATAGTTGGGTCCTTTTTTAAAAAAAAGCTAATCTGAAAATATATTTTAATTGGCATATTTTAAACCATTTACTTTTAATACATTTAATGATATGGTTAGATTTTGATCTACCATTTTATTGTTTTGTTTTTGGTTTGTCCCCTCTGTTTTTCATTCCTCTGTTTCATCTTTTCTGCTTTCTTTTGGATTACTGAATATTGTTTAGGTATTTTATTTTTATTTCTCTGTTGGCTGTTTGACTGTATCTGTCTGTATAGTTTTTTAAGTGGTTGTTCTAAGGATTATAATGTACATATGCAACTCTTCATGATCTACTTAGAATTAACATTTTACCACTTCAAGTGACATACAGAACCCTTGCAACCATATAGGGCCTTTCCCCTCCTCCTTTTATGCCATAGTTGTTACATGTATTACATCTAGGCACTAAAAATCCCATCAGATAATGTTATAATTTTTGCTTTCAACAGTCATACATATTTTAAAGTACTTACGAAGAAGATAGTGTATTATATTTACCTAGTTATTATCATTCTGTTCTCTTCTTTTATTACTAAAGTTCCTTTTGGTATCGTTTTCCTAAATAATTCCCTCTAGCATTGCCTTTAGGGAGTGAATGCTGGCGATGAATTCTCTTAGCTTTTGTTCATCTAAAAATGTTTTCTTTTGCCTTAAAAAAGATATTTTTTAACTGGATGTAGAATTCCAGGTTAACAGGGGTTTTTTTTCTCTCTCTTTCAGCACTTTAGAGATGTTGTCCCACTGTCTTCTGGCCTCACTGGCTTCTCACGTGAACTCAGTAGTCACCTTAATTGTTCTTCCCCTGTACGTAATGTACTGCTTCCTCTGCGTGCTTTCCGTTGCTTTTTATCCTGGGTTTTCAGCAGTTTAAGATGTATTTGGGTCAGGTTTTCTTTGAATTTGTCCTTTTGGGGGCTTTACTGAGCTTATTGAATCTATAAATTTATGTCTTTTCATCAAATTTGGGAATTTTTCAGTCATGATTTTTTCAAATATTTTCTCTGTTCCAAGCCTTTTTTTGATCTCTGTGGAGAGACATATGTGACATAAATATTAAACCTTCTGCTATTGCCTTACAAGTCCCTGAATCTCTGTTCATTCTTTTCAATCTTTTTCTCTGTGTTGTCCAAATTAGATCATTTCTATTGATCTATTTTCAAGTTCATTTACTCTTTCCGCTGTCATCTTCATTTTGCTATTGAGTCCATAGCGTGAATTTTTTATTTCAGTTATTGTGGGACCAGAGTAGTTGAGGCAGGCCCGGAGGAGATTTGCTACTCCTCCTCACGGAGCCAGGTCCCTAAGATACGGGTTGCCACAGAGGATAAGGAAATTGATAGGCAACAGAGAGAAATGAAAGAATACACAGAGACTAAGGTATAGTTTGTAGTTTTATATGTATATATAAAGATCAGACAAAACACAGTGGGGGGCACCTAGGGGACTGGCGGATCTCCACAACCGCCAGCAATATAGTTACATTCATACAGGTTTTTATAATCACAGACATCGATGACCAGTTGTCAGGGTAACATATTTGCATATCAGGGAATGCAGTTGCTAGAGGATACAGGTAGTGGGTTAAGGTCAAAAGTCCTCTCAAGGGGCTTCTAATCTATCTAGGTGAACAAATAGGTACAAAGTCTTTCAGGGGCTAACTTCTAAAGAGGTAGTTGTCAATTAATAAAGGTAAAATAAAAGAGGTATAGTGACTCTATATATCTTTGATTAGTTATGGGGGACTTAAAGGTAGACAGACAGGAGAGAGCAGGAAGCCCATCTCTAATAAACAGGTTGTTTATAATCACCAGGACGCTTCTCAGGGCAAAGTGCACTCATTGTCTCTGGCTCCCATCCTGTGGGCCATGTTTGCCTTGTCTTGTCTTTCAAGACACAGGGAAGCTCACAGATTTTGAGATACCGGGAAGCCTTCCTGGAAAACATCCCCACTGGAGATTTGAGAGCTCTCCCATGATGGCAGCCTCTAACAAGTGAACCATTGAGTCCACACATTCCTTCAGGGCAAAACCCTGCAAACTCCTGTTTCTGTGTTTAACATAGTAATATTGGGTTATACAATAAAATAATGAGCCACATCTCATTAATTCCTCAATCATATTTTTGCAACAAGTTATTGTACTTTTTAGTGATAAAATTTCCATTTGGTTCTTTTCGTTTTTTATAGTTTTCATTCTTTGCCGAGAACTACCCTTCCATTCATTTCAAGAGCGTTCTTTCTTATTTAATGGACTGTGGTGATAATAGCTGCTTTAAAGTTTATGTGTGATAATTCCATTATCTGGGTAATGCAATCAAGGGCCAGCATTTGTTAACTGTTTTTCTTTGAGAGTCTTTGAGATTTTCCTGATTCTTTGCATATGGAGTGATTTAGGGGCATTTTGAATATTATATAATCAGCCCTATTTAGTTCAGACCACAAGTCCTGACCTGCCTTCTGCTTTGGGTCAGTTCTATACACACACAGCTCAACAGAGACTCTAGGACTTCGTACGCAGATTTGAGAGGTCCTTTCTCCAACTCTCCATGATTTCTCTCACATTCTCTGTCTCCCAGAGGCCCTGTTCCTGATCCTCACTCTAGAAAGCTGGAGTTTTAGCCTCCCCACATTTAT